AAAGGGGGGTGGGGGGGGAGGGGCATTAAAACATTATACCCTCTTCAAAAAATGGTTGGGTTGAATTGGAGTTTTAACACATGACTGCCGAGGTCAATGTTTTGCTTTGCAGTATGGGAGATTGAAAGTAAAGCCCTTGTCGTTTCTTTTTCTGTGCAGTTAGCGTTTGCTGTCAGCCTATTACCCTCAAAAGCTTCTTATGGGCCCCAGGGGGAACACACCTTAAACGGGAAGCCAAGGATTTACTGATTGTCCAGTTAATATTTTAACGGTTTAATAGCCCAAATTGTTGGTCCTGTTATGATAATAAAACCCAATAGTCCAAATTAATAAGGCAAAGCCTCAAGGATACAGTAAAAACTGTTACACAGGAGAAACCCTTCCTGACGCCTTCCCCCTTTGGCTGGGGTTGCGCTCACAGGTCAGCGTCCCTCCGGCCCTGAGGGCACTGCCTCCGTCCTCCCGGAGCCGAGCTGGGGCTGGAGCAGCCTCGGCAGCCCGAGGTCTGCGCTGAGGGGCGAGGGCAGTGCCGGGGGCTCTGCCCCTCTCTGCCAGGAGGCACGTGGTGTTGGTCTTGACGCTCCCTGCCTGCTTGGCCCTGGGGCCGCTGGGTTTATTTTGTATACCTTTTCACGTGGTCCACCTCCGCTGCTGCTTTTTGTCAGTCCCAGTTATTCAGTTTTTCTCTTCTCTTCCTTGCCCCGAAGCAGTTTCCCCAACCTGCTGCAATTCCGTGGCCCGGGGCTGCACATGGCCACGCCGCCTTCCGCTGGGGAGCCAAAACAGCCGAGTCCCCCCAGGGCATCGACTCGGTATCGCTCTAAACTAAAGCAAACCATGGTTACCCGACGGCTAGACAACTGCTGGCACAGCTCAACAAGCTGAAGTCAGCCCAGGTCCAGAGAAGCCCCGAGCCTGCGCTCGGGCTGGCACAGAGCCCAGGACCTTTCAGTGCTTATCAGTGACATTTCCTGGGCTATCACCTGCTCGAAAACATCGTGGCAAACCTCCCCGGCCCCATGGCGGTCACGGGCTGAGGGCTGCAGCCGTGGCGGGGGCTGGCGGCTGCCGGGGGTTGGTGACATGAACAGGGAGCTCTGGGGAGCGGGGGGCTGGGGAGGAACATTTGCTTTGATGTTACTGAGATGGTGATTCGAGATGGTGATTTGAGATGGTGATTCGTGGTGTTCTGGTTTGAAAAGGCCTGGTACTTCACGGGGATGCGGAGACGGGGGTGGGCTAGAGAAGACCCCTGTCCCTGGAAAGGGGAGAACCAGAAATAGCGGATTTCCAAATGTCTCTGTCTTTCAGCCTGCTCTTTTGTGCCATAACATGTATGTTTTAACTAAGGGCGAGGGTCTCAAAAGGCTTTGAGAGCGTAGCTACTTATCATTTACAAATGACAAACTGCCTGTTGTTTTCTGGTGGGCTTGGTAGGGGCTAAGGTGTAGCAAAATTATCTAAAGTCCACCTTTGCTTTAAGCAGATGCATTTCTATCTGCAGGAGTAAGAATTATTTCACTTATTGGCATAGCTGGACAGTTATCTATTTCTTTCTGTTACCAAGGTACTTGTAACTCTCTTGCACTGTTTATCTAAAGTTGAAATATGTTCTTTGAATCCTTGTATAAATAAAAGGCTGGAGACTTAAATCTGTATTTACAGGGCAGTTTTATTTCTTCTCCGTTTAAGATGAGTTTAGGATTTTCTTTCTTTTTCGTTGTTAAGGCACAGATAAAGGCCAGGTCAGGAGTGCTGAGGAATGAAAGCTTGCTTTCAGCCACAGAGTTTGTAATGGGCTGATGCCAGCGTTGGCGCTACGGGTTTGCCAGCATTCAACCCTGTGTAATCTGGAGGAACAACTGCTAGGATTGTATGGATGTGATGTCTGTGGAAACAAGGTGAACCTGACTTGAGTCATCAAAGCAAATATGCTAAAAAGTTCTCTTTCTCATAGAGGTGCACAAAAAGTCATGCATAATAGTACAAGCAATCAGAAATACCCTTAGCATTTGTCATTACAAAGTGTTGTGCTAATTATTTACCATGGCATTGTACTAGTGCAGCTGTTGGTAGGGTTAACAGCAAGCAAAGCAGACGGCCGGCCCGTCGCAGTGACGTGGATGTTTAATCTCAAGCGAGTGCCTGAGACTGAACTGATGCAGCAGAAAGGTTTGTGCTTCAGCTCTGCACTGTCCAATTCCAGGAGTGGGTAAATGCAGCAGCCAAGGTAATGTGTCAAAAGCAGCTCATGAAGTGTCTAAGAGAGTCTTGGTAACTGGAAACTACTAAAAGTGTATCTGCCTGGAAGCAAATATCACTTAAATTTAATAAATTGAGTGATACCCTTGAGTGAGTAGGTATTTCTTTAGTTTCATGTCCTGCAGTTACAGCTATTTAGGCACCACATGCGCACATTTATATACATACAAGTGTAGAAATGTTGGTCTTCTCCTGGGTGAAGTTGTTTGCAGACCAGTCACCTCCTTTGCCTCGTCTGTGCAATCTTAAATAATGGCCACTTAAAGCTGCGCGTGTATTAAAACTGTTGGAAAACAATTCTGTTGGTTTGTAAAGCCACTGAAACCCGTATGTTTGCAAATTCACTGCTACGAAATTGTGACGGGGTGGGTGTGACAGAAGCTGAGCTCAGCTCCTGCTTCCCTGCAGCCACACACAGCCCGGCTTCCCCAAGAAGGCGAGGCTTCGGGGACCCTAGCAGCAGCACTGTACCTACAAGGAGCTCACCAAGAAGACGGAACCAGGCTCTTTACTGCGGTGTATGGCAAGAGGACGAGAGACAGCCAGGGTAACCGGGGCTGTTTGCATAAGGTGTTTGCACCATACCCCAACAGCAGTGGCACAAAGTCCAGAAACCCCCCAGCAGCCCCAGCAAAATCTGGACTGAGGCACCAGACCTTTTCCAGCCAGGGGACGAGACTATTACCCTGCAGTTCAGCCATCTTCTCTCAGAGGAGGCAAATGGCTTCACTGCCAGGAGATGGCATTTGTGTTTAGCCTGTAATGACTCTCCATGTAACGATAACTACCCTGTTCCTATCTCCTCCTCTGCACGGGGACTCGATACAGGGCAGGCTGGTGGGAAGGGACAACTTTTCAGGACCGTCTTCGTCAGCTGCAGGCAGGTCACTAGTAAACATCTGTAGCCTCGCAGTGAGGCATCACGGATGCAGAAGCAGCGACATTTCCTGCTGCTAATGCGACAGCAACGCCGCTCCGGGCTGGTGGCACCCAGGGGCCTCCCGGACCAGGGCCGGGGTGAGCTGCAGGGAGCTGGAAAGCCAGTCTCGCCCTGGTAGGTCACACCAGGCATGTCTGGCAACTCCCAGAGCCATCTGCTGGGCTGCTGCCACCCGTAGGGATCGGTGGAGGGTTCATGCCACACCAAGAGTGATGCCACGTGAAATAAAGAGCACAATTTTGGTAACAAGAGCAGCTGTTATGGGCAAATTTGGCACAGTGGGCACTTTTCAAAAGGAGGACTGTTTTTGCCGTTAGCTGTATTCTTTTAATGGGATAATGCCTTTAAACAGATTCTGGGCCATGCTAAATCAAAGTATGACACACAGAAGCAAGTAGCAAGCGCTCCTGAAGGCAAATGAGACACTTTTTCTAATGGTGAGATGTGATACTGCACAGCAGAAACGCATCCGAGGAAGTGATGGGGATCCTTGTACCCCACTTGCGCAGGACGAGGGGCGGAGGGGCTGCACGGAGCAGTCGGCTCAGCCCCAGCTCGGTGCCCCTCGGGAACGGCAGCCTCTCC